GATGGTGCTTGGCCTGCTGTGTTCATCCAGCTCTGCACCTTGTTGCCCTAATTTTACTTGATGTGGTTCTGTCTAAATTTGCTTTAAAGCACTCCTGCCTTGAAGTGTTTCGATGTGAACAAGGCACTTTATAAATATAAATTGTTGTTGATAATAAAAAATGAGAGGACCAGCTGTTAAAAAGTGCCTATAATAAAACAATGGAAAATGAGGCATTAACATATTTTGAGGATCTAGGAATACATTCAGGACGACTGAGACATGGCTATAGAAGACTGGAAATTGCAGAGTATGACATATTTAGGAAAGATAGAAGGGGGAAAAGGAGAAGTGTAGTAGTTGTCCGAATTAGAGACAGCATAATTGCAAAAAACACAACTAACGTAGAATCCATGTAAATAAGGGAACAAAAGGGCTCCACTTGAACTTCCTTACCTGTCAGCATAACGCCCACAAAAGGAAACACTCTTTCCATGTCACCTCTATCAAACCATTTCATAACTTTAAAAAGACTCCATTAGTTACCTCTCGGCCTACTGTTTCAAAGAGAAAAGAGACCCAGACTTTTAAGATTTTCCAGATAATCGATAGCACCTTTGTGGGGAGAGGAAGCAGGGATATTGGAGGTAAGGACAGGGGTGTGCCCGATGTCAGCCCCTTGATGATGGGTCACCCACCAGTCTCCACCAAGGTAACAAGTTGCCCACATACCACTTGATAACCTGCCTGCCTGAAGGTAAATAAATCCCAGCAGGGGATTGATGATCTCTGCCCTTAGTATTAATCCATACCATTAGCAGAATAAAACTTAGAGAGAGAAGGGCTTATTTACTTCAGTTGATCAAAAGAATTTATAAGATTTGATCAAGGTCTTAAAAAATATTCTTAATTCAAGTAGGCAAAATATTTGAGCTAAATAGCACAGATCAAGATATAATAGTATAAGTTGTGAAAGCAAAGAAGTAGATTAAGTACTAGGAGGTACTTCATTTTGCAGAGAATCATCATCTTTTGTAATAACTGGTATAGTAAGTATCAATTCAAAAGGGAGATAGACAGATTTCCAAGGCTGACAAATTAAAGAGATTTATTTGGTGTAAGGACTATGTCTTTTTGTTTCTATGTCATTAAAAAACTGTTCACTGTAATGAAAAGTATTTACTTGGATGGCTGCATAATTTTACAGCATGGAATTTGTTTTTTCATATCAGGGGTTCCTGCAATATGCTGAGGAGTTGTTTATAAGAGAAACTGATTGGTTCTCTGTTAACTGCGCGGGTTAGAACCGGAACCAACTTACAGAGACACAGACACATAGAGTGAAAGAAAGACACAGAAAAATGTGCTATTATTCTCTGAGCAGAAGCTGCCTGTTCTCTGCAGTAAAAAAACTTAAACTTGAAGAAAACCAATTATTTTACTGCCACTGTTGCTATGAGATGGTAACTTTTGAATTGATCAATCAGAGACATTTTCCAATTGAATCAGTCACTCCGGAACAAATGGAACCTTTCAGAGAAAGACAACTGAATGCTAAGGGCCTGGTTAGCCAAAGAAGGGTCATCTCAGCATTGGAATCATAAAAGAAAGACCACTGGACTGACATTTCAGGTTTTTTTCCTATCTTTGTCAATAATCTATTTTCCATAAATTTTGTGTGTGTGTGTATGTCTGCGTGCGTGTGTGTGTGTATGTGTCTGCATGCGTGTCTGTATAAAAGTGAGATTATAAGAGGATTACAGTTTTAATTAGTAGTGTTCTATGCCAATTGTTTATATATGTTTACCTATAACTACAGAAATCTGATCTATATTTCCTATCAGCCTTCGTCTGAAAATCAGGTGAATTGGGATACTATACATACTGTTTTTAAAAAAAAACCTTTAACATTTGTTACAACTCTTGGGAATAACGCTGCTCGATTTATAGTGTGGTACACCAGAAGCAATGTTCGGGGGCACAACTGAACCTAAGTCGGGATTGGATTTGAATTCAATTAGATTGGATTGGATTGGAAACAGAGGCAAATAAGATTTGGGTGTACTATTTGTAAATAGTACAGGTGAAGCAAAACACCAGGGTCTATATTGCCTTTAGACTTAACAAGAGGTAAAGAGCAAAGCATTTCCTGCGTGTGGCAGAGTTGTGACTGGCAGTCTCAAAAAGGAACTTTCAACACCAAGCTCGGAAGACTTGGTAGATAAACTGGAGGTAGTTTTGTCTGACAGAGATAATGAGGTACTAGCACAGAACTTGGGTTTAGAGGGTGTGTAAAATGGAGGTGAATACTCCAGGCAGTGAAATTTTTGAATCAAGTGATATTCACTTACAGTTAAAACAGCTGAATCAGAGGAAAGAATGAAAAAGCTGGAGATGCAATTCCAAAGGGAAAAAAGAGACAAGGAAAAGGTCAGGTCCACATAAGGAAAGGGAGATGGAATGAAGAAAATAGGAATTACAGTGAACAGTTTTTTAATGACATAGAAACAAAAAGACAGGCAATAGAAATGAGAAAACTTGAAATAGAAGCACACGAGAAAGATAAAACAGGAACTTAACTTAAAATGTTACAGCTGGAACAGACGATGTCAGATGTTAATGCAGGTTCTGCTGGGCAACATCTGAGTTAAGCAGATGTTAGGGTAGCTGAAACTGTATTTAAGAATGAGGACAGTTGAAAAGAGGTGCTTGGGGTGTTTGGCATGTTGTCCTTAATTGAGAGTCAGAAGACAGATCCAGAGTTCAGTAAATTAGCACCGACAAGTCAAACTGAAGCTAAGACCATAGGGGTTTTCAAGTGTAATTATATTCAGAATGGAGTTGTGATGAAGAAGTTGAGGCACCTTCATGAACGTTTCGATAAATAATAGTTGACTATTTGTCAAACTGTGGAACTATCTAGATATATAAGGCGATATTAAGATGCCACGTAAAGATCCAATGGCAGGCCATACAGGAATACAGAAAACAGAGGCATTGATAAACAGGTTATATTTTACATTGCCAGAACTTTATAATGATGTCAAGCACATCACACATGTCAGGTGACATGTAATCAGACCTGCACCTTAGATATCGATGCCAACTTTTGAAAAACCATTTAGTCAAGTGTTAGTTGTTTGTGTAGGACCATTACCAAAAATGAAAGCCGTAAGGAATTCAGTCCCTGACCTCATTGCAACCTTTTCAAACATGGACAAAAGACCTGAATTTCAGAGGTGAGGTGAGAATCAGATTTGTATTTGACTGAATGTGGCACCACGAAGCTCCAGCAAAAGTAGAGTCACTGGGAATCAGGGGAAAACTCTCCATTGGTTGGAGTCTTACCTGGCATGAAGGAAGATGCCTGTGGCAATTGGAGAGCAGTCAGCTCAGCTCCAGGACATCTCTGCAGGAGTTCCTCAGGGTAGTGTCCTGAACCCAACCATCTTCAACTGCTTCATCAATGGCTTTTCCATCCATCGTAAGGTTAGAAGTGGGGATGTCCGCTGATAACTGCACAATGTTCAGTACCAGTTGTAGCTCCTTATGTACTCAAATGCAACAAGACCTGGACAATATCTAGGCTTGGGCTGACAATTGGGAAATAACATTAATGCTACACAAGTGCCAGACAATGGCCATCTCCAACAAGACCGAATCTAGCCCTTGCCCCTTGACATTCAACAGGATCACCATCACTTAGTACCCCACTATCAACTTTCTGAGGGTTACTATTGACCAGAAATTGAACTGTGACTACAATAGCTAGTCAGAGACTAGGAATGTTGCTGTGAGTAACTCACCTCCTGGCTCCCCAAAGCCTGTCCACAATCTACAAAGCACATGTCAGAAGTGTGATGGATTACTTCCCATTCGACTGGATGAGTGCAGCTCCAACAATGCTCAAGAAGCTTGACACCATCCAGAACAAAGTAGCCTGCTTGATTGCCATCATATTGATAAGTACTCCGTTCCTCCACCACTGATGCTCAGTAGTAGCAGTGTGTGTCACCTACACGATATAGTGCAAACATTCACCAAGGCATGTTAGATAGCATCATCCAAACCCATGGCCGCTACCATTTAGAAGGAAAAAGAACACTGTCACTTGCATGTTTGATGCCATCCACTTGCAATCCTGATTTGGAAAGGTATCACCATTTCTTCGTGTTGCTGGGTCAAAAGCAACCCTTCTTACTGGCATTCTACAACAGGTAACTACAACAGGTGGGTGCAGTGGTTCAAGAAGTCAGCTCACCATTACCTTTTCAAGGGCAATTAGGGCTGGGCAACAAACAATGATCTATCCAGAGATGCTCACATCCCATAAGTGAATAAAAACAAAAACAAATGCACTTCATGTACTGGCTGGCTTGACTCCAACACTGCTGTAAGGTACTTTGAATGCTGTGATCCATTAAACACATTATTTGTAAGATGTTGAGTCATCCATGTCATGTTCTCCCCATCAGTCACTTGGTTGATTTAAGTGGTTTGATAGATCATATTTAGATTCA